TGCTGGTGCTGAGGGTTCTGAGTCTGCTGTTGCACGGTCTCCTTGGAGTAGCCGCCTTCGTCCACGTGTGCCTCTCACCTCGCAGCAGCTGCACGACTGGTACGGTCGCCGTCAGGGTCGCGCTGCTGGAGCCCGGGGCTCTGCTGCTGGAGGTACTTCTCCTGACGTCCCTGGAGCTAGGAGTGGTGCTGGTACTTTGTCTACTGGAGGTGCTGGAGTCGCTGGTCCCGGAGGTGCTCGTACTGGAGGTACTGGAGCTGCTGGGGCTGGGGGTGCTGCGTCTGGAGGTGCTGCTGCTGGAGACACCGAGGCTGGAGACCCTGGGACTGGAGGTGCTGGTTCTGGGGGTGCTGCTGCTGGAGACATTGAGGCTAGAGACCCTGGGACTGGAGGTGCTGGTTCTGGGGGTGCTGCTGCTGGAGACACTGAGGTTGGAGACCCTGGGCCTGGAGGTGTCGGTTTTGGGGCTGGAGCTTCTGGAGCTGCTGGAGGTGCTGGAGCTGCTGGAGGTGCTGGAGCTGCTGGAGCTGCCGGTACTGGTGCAGCTGCGCCGACACGACTGTTCTTCGCTCCGCCATCTCCGTCGTCTCTGCCGCCGCCTGACTCTGTTCTTCGTCAGGTTCTTACTCTCCCGTCGTCTACTGGTCTTCCGTTACAGCCTGGCTCACCGCTGCCTGCTCCTTCTCCTTACACTGAGCAGGCAGGTAGTCCTGCTGAGCGTCGTGAGCCTGTGTCGCGTCCTGTCTCGCCTGTTCGTCCTGGTCGTACCGGTCGTCGGGTTCCTCGTTCGCGTCAGCCGGCTGTCCCCAGCGCACACCTCGTAGTCCGTCGTCCTTCCTCTGCTCCGCAGCCTGTTCCTCTGCCGTCTCCTCCTGCGTCCTCTCTGCCTGACGTTCCGGACCCTGAGTCTGACCGGTTTTGTGCTGAGCACCCTACTGTCACGCGTCTGTCAGCCACTGTTGTCACTGACCCGTCGTTTGAGTCTACTGCTGCGTCTGCCTTGGTTGCTGAGCTTGTTGCCTTTGCTGCTGCCTGTCGTCTAGACTACGCCGCTAGTCTTGTTGCTGAGTCTGAGTCTGTCTGTCCTCCGTCCGTCGGGGGTGAGTGTGCTCTTGGCACGGACGTCCTTGAGGACAGGCAGGAGGAGTTCCAGTGCTTTGCGGCTGCTGTACCTCATCTCGTGTCCATGCTGATTGCACCTGAGGGAGATCTGGATGCACCAGACATCCCGACCCCGTGCTCTTACGCTGAGGCGATCGCGGGTGAGTACTCCTCTCAGTGGCAGACAGCCATGGACGCAGAGATGGCATCCTGGAAGTCCACTGGCACTTACGTCGACGAGGTTCCCCCTCCTGGGGCGAACATCGTCAGTGGCATGTGGATTTTCAGGGTGAAGCGGCCGCCAGGTTCTCCGCTTGTCTTCAAGGCTCGTTACGTTGCTCGAGGCTTCAGTCAGCGAGAGGGAGTCGACTTCTTCCAGACCTTCTCCCCCACTCCGAAGATGACCACTCTTCGGGTGCTGCTGCACGTTGCCGCTCACCGTGACTACGAGCTTCACTCTCTTGACTTCAGCACAGCTTTCTTGCAGGGCAGCCTGCACGAGGAGATCTGGCTGCGCCGCCCCCCGGGCTTCACTGAGTCGTTCCCTCCTGGTACCCAGTCGAGCCTCCGGCGGCCGGTCTACGGTCTTCGCCAGGCGCCACGTGAGTGGCTCGACACACTGAGGACTACGCTTGCGGCCCTTGGGTTTGCGCCTTCTACTGCTGACCCGTCGCTGTTTCTGCGCACTGACACTTCACTGCCGCCGTTCTACATCCTCGTGTACGTCGACAACTTGGTTTTTGCCACTGCTGACACTGAGGCTCTCGCCCACGTGAAGTCGGAGCTGCAGAAGAGACACACGTGCACAGACTTGGGTGAGCTGCGCAGCTACCTTGGCTTGCAGATCACCCGGGACAGAGCACGCCGCACCATCACCCTGACTCAGTCACACATGGTGCAGCAGGTCCTTCAGCGCTTCGGCTTCACCTGGTCTTCAGCACAGGCCACTCCTCTGGCTACAGGTCACTCCCTCTCAGCTCCACCTTCGGACGAGTCCGTAGAGCCGAGTGGTCCTTACCCAGAGCTAGTTGGCTGCCTCATGTACCTGATGACTTGCACTCGACCTGACCTCGCGTACACTCTTGGTCTTCTGGCTCGCTACATGGCTCCTGGTCGGCACCGACCTGAGCACATGGCTGCTGCTAAGAGGGTACTGCGCTACTTGTGCAGCACATCAGGCATGGGGCTAGTGCTTGGAGGGACGAGCCTAGTTGTCCTCACTGGGCACTCAGACGCGTCTTGGGTTGACGACCAGACTACACAGCGGTCGTCACAGGGTTACACCTTCAGCCTTGGCTCTGGCTCTGTTTCTTGGCGGTCTACACGCTCGTCTTCTGTTCTCAGCTCTAGTTGTGAGGCTGAGATCTACGCCACCGCCATGGCTGCACAGGAGCTACGCTGGCTCACCTACCTGCTGACTGACTTGGGTGAGCGGCCTCGTTCTCCTCTAGTTCTGTACGTTGACAACAAGGCGGCCATTGCCTTGTGTGAGGAGCATAGACTGGAGCACAGAACGAAGCACATCGCTCTGCGTTACTTCCTGGCTCGAGAGTTGCAGCAGCGAGGTCAGCTTTGTCTTCGTCACGTGGCCACTCAGGCCAACACTGCTGATATATTCACCAAGACACTTCCGTCTGGTGATCATCAGCGCTTTTGTACCCTGTTAGGTCTTGTGCCTACGTTTCCACACTTGCTGTAGTCTCTGCTTGTACTGTGATCTATATATATACATGCATGCCTGCTCTTGCTAGGTAGTCATCACTGCACTGTTATTGTTGCGTATATATCTCTGCATGTGGACTGGCCTTGTGGCCCTTTGCTTGTGCTCAGAATGTGTGGTGACGTTGTGATCCACCCTGAGCTTGCTTTGCGTCTCTTGACTGGTCGTGTGACCCCTTGGTCTCCCCCACTTTGCCTATGGGGGTGTGTCAAACATATATGCTGCATATTGTGTAGGCTGTAGTGGGGTAGCCCATATGGGGTACAACCCAATTAGGGATTACTACTTGTACTCCTGCATGCTGCTAGTTCATCATTCCTGCTGCTAGATTTTAACACATAGGGGGGTGTGTGCAAGGGGGTCTGCGACAGTGGGGGAGAAGGTTGAACGGAGGTAGCCGTTGTGGAGCCAGCAGCGCCAGTAGTCCGGGAAGGTCGTGCCCTTGCTCCGGTAGCCAGCAAGCCCGTTGCGCCGGTCGCCCGTGGGTCCGTTGCTCCAGCCGCTCGTCGTAGCCGCGGAGCCAGTTAGTAGTTACTCCAGTAGTCCGGATACCCTCGCGTGTTCGGTAGCCAGTGTGCCAGTTGCTCCAGTAGCCCGTGTGCCAGCAACTTCAGCCGCCGCCTCCAATCTTCTCTCCTCTCACAGTCCCTCCTCCTCCTCACTTGCCCTCTGTGACTGCCTCTAGTTCTGCTTCTGCTTGTGAACTTATGCGACTTCTTGCTGTGCTGATTATACCCCACATTGCCTATGGGGGTGTGTCAGAATACTATATTTGTCTGGTCTGCAGTGGGGTACTCTATAGTGAGTACAGCCCAAATTAGGGTTTGCTATATGTATCCTATCTGCTGCTAGTGCAACCCCTCTTTCCTGTTTCTCATTCTTGTTAGGGCGTGTTAAATCGCCGCACACATCCGAAATTTGCTAATGGCCGGATTTTCGGCCTTAGGGTACTTAGGGGTTCGGGTACGAGACAGCTTGGTACTTAGGGGTTCAAATGGGTACTCTCGCCAAAACAGCCCGACGGATGGTGGCCGAATTTCTGTGTTCGGCGATTTAACACGCCCTTAGCGTTTCTCGACATAGATGTGATCTGAAATTCATACGAAGCAGAGCCTTGCCAGAAATTGTTTGCTTCATTACAGAGTCCTAAATTAAACTTTACCCAACGTCACTTGAATGTTGTAAATCATTCCGGCAATATCATAGCAAGTACATATTTCGTATGATGTGCATGTAATGCAGAGTCTTATTTATTCACACGATCTATTTTACTGACACTCCACAAAAGTTAGTCCTGCACCAAGTGACTTGCGTAAAAAAACTTATCTTGTCGTTCCCAACCCAAGCCCGATAACATCTCTGAAACACTCCCTGGCTAAATTTCTCCCTCCCTCTCACTAAACTGCAGAACTCTGATCAGGCAGCTGGAGAACTGTCATTTCCAAGTCCCTTCCCATCTGGACTCACCTGCACTCTATCTTCCCGTCTCAAGCAGCCAACTCTCCAGCCTCTCAGAACTCCTCTCCACCCTCTCATAACTCATCTCCCTCCACCCTCTCATAACTCATCTCCACCCTGTCATAACTCCTCGCCACTGTCTCATAACTCCTCTCCACCCTCTCATAACTCCTCTCCACCCTCTCATAACTCCTCTCCACCCTCTCATAACTCCTCTCCACCCTCTCATAACTCCTCTCCACCCTCTCATAACTCCTCTCCACCCTCTCATAACTCCTCTCCACCCTCTCATAACTCCTCTCCACCCTCTCATAACTCCTCTCCACCCTCTCATAACTCCTCTCCACCCTCTCATAACTCCTCTCCACCCTCTCATAACTCCTCTCCACCCTCTCATAACTCCTCTCCACCCTATCATAACTCCTCTCCACCCAATCATAACTCCTCTCCACCCTCTCAGAACTCCTCTCCAGCCTCTCATGCTGTAACCTGCAGAATTGCAGCAGATACAGGATAGGTCATTTCAGGTCATCACTCCAACATCTGTGCAGAATTGAACCAAAACCAGAGACACCACCCTTCCAGGCCTTCCTCTCGCTGCTTCCCTGTTTAGATCCTTCACCCTGCCAGAATTATTATACCCCAAAGACCTCTCATCTCTAGAGAGAGTGCATCCAGCCAGCCTACCCTTCCCAATTCCTCCACCCAAGGATATTATCACTTATCTCATTCCGCGACCCAGGGGGGTAGTTGGCCTGCTTCCTGCCATAGGCGTGCCAGGTTGGCTCCCAGCTACGCTGCCGCCCGACCTGATCTGTGCGAATTCACGAAGCATCGCCAGCAGCGCTCGCGAATCCGAATCGGGCTTGCTGTTACCCGCGAGTTTCACCAGCGGCGGCAAACATCCTTCGCTAAGAATTTCGCTCATCGCGTCGTCGCCATCAGCCTTCGCCAACGAAAGTAACGTTCCCGCCGAAAGTTCCGCCGCCTTTTCCGAACCAGACTCCATAATCCCGATCAGGGTAAACTCCACGTCCTCTTCCTTTTTCAACGCATAAATACCCTGCGGGTACTTAACTAACGCGCAAAGCAACACCGCCGCTTTTTCTTCCACTCCCGCCTCATCTTCCCCTTCCAGCAGCGCAAACACTTGGCGAACCAGACCGTGTTTAATCGCGTCTTCCGCAGCTTTCGGAAACAACGCGAGGTTGTAAAGAGCAAGGCAGCAATCCTTCTTGGTACGCGCGCACGTCGCCTTCCTGAGGAGATTAATCAGCGGCGGGACAGCTCCCGCCGACCATACGACCTTCTTGTTTTCCTCCGCATTCGATAGCGCGAAGAGAGCCGCCGCGGCGTTCGATTTCGCCACCTCCGTAGCCTCGAACGATCCGTCCGGTCTGGGACTCAATAGCGAACCGCTGATTGCATCATTAGCACCCATCGGTGTTAAACACATTCCGCCGCGCGATGTCTTTAAAACTTCGACAAGGTTTCTAACGCCGCCGGCGGAGACGACTTCCATGGCGCCGTCCCATTGGAGAGAGAGGTAGAGCGTGGCGGCCGATGCTTGCTCGACGATCGGACCGTCCGTTGACAGCAGCATCTGCATCAACGGTCGGATGCCGCCCGCGGCGACCAATCGCGTGCGATTCTCCGGCGCCTCTTTCAGCGCGATCCTCAACGTATGAACCGCCTCGCGACGCTGTGCGACGTCGCCCGTTCGCAGAGCGTCAATCAACGGTCGCATCTCAGTAACAGAACCCTGCTCGCTCGTGCGCCTGCTTCGTCGCGTCGGCGTCGCGCTCAAGAACTGCTTCGAGTAGGGCAACGCCTCTTGCGGCGACGCGGACCCCCGACGCGAGCCCTGACGCTGCGCTCTCGCCGCGTTTCCCCCCGCGTTTCCAGCCAAGAACGACCCGAGCGCTTCGTCGTTCTTCGCATCTTCATCCGTAGACGACAGCCACGGGTCGCTGCTATTCCGAGGCAGCACCTTCGGGCTCGCAGCAGCGTCGCATGGAGTCGCAGGGTCCCCTTTCCTACGGGGCGACATCGTTCGTTGTAGGGCTCCGTCGTTAGCGCTTGGCCGAAGATGCTTAGGAATGGCTGGCGGCATGTTCGCAGCGGCGGGACCGGCGGAAACGTACGCGTTAGCAGAAGCGGAAGCGGTGAGCTTCTTAGCGACTGCCACCGTCTCCACCGCGGCAGGGCCCGAACCGCCAGCTGAGCTGCCCGTAGTCGAAGCGCCTGCAGTCGAACCGTTGTCCCTATTGGATTGCAAAGAGTGGCGCCGCTCGAGCACCGACTGTGGGGAGATTCGTGGCGACGCCGCGCTGCCTCCGCCGCCGGTTGCGGCGGAACCCTCGGCGGAACCTGCGGCTGCGCGATCCGCTGCCGCTGCTGCTGCTGCTGCCCGAGCCTTCGCCAAATCGAACTGCTCTCCAGAAGCGGGGGATGGAGGAACCGACGGGTTGCGAGATGTTTCTACAGCTGGCGTCAGCGGGCTCGATGGACGGAGCGGCTTGAGCGTCACCATGTGAGATTTACACCAATCGGAGATGAGCTTTTGGAGCGCCTCGTTGGGCGTGAGCATTTGGTGCGCGAGCGTCTCGCCGGTTTTGGGACACGTGGTTCTTCCTTGCGCGAACCAGCGCTCGATGTAGACGCGCTCGAAGCTTTTACCAGAACTAATTATAACGGGGTCGCGCATAACCTCACTGGAGAGTGGGCAGATGAATTCTTGAGGGAAGGAAACGCGTGGGGATGGGATAGAAGCCGCCGGAGGTTTTCGAAAGGCAGACTCTTGCCGTAGCCAGTCAACAGCCGCCATTGTGGCGTCAAGTTCGCCGCAGATGCACTGAAGATGCACGGAGCCTAAACGCAGGACTTCGAAAATTGAGTCCGGAAGAGCTCGAATTCTATTGGTAAGCTAATTTCAACACGCCAAAGCTATAGGGTTAACAGACAGTGGCGTCTAGACAACTTTGTGCAGCAAGAAAACCGTCAAGAGGTGTCTTGTCTACATATACGAAGGATTTGCCTTCGTATAATAGACGTATGGCTAGTTTCTACAGCGTATGGCTAGATGTTCTTCCGTTGCAGTCAGTGCTCTAGCAATGCTGGAAGGCTGGTATGTGGCGTCCCTCCTGACTTAGGAAAAGACGCCACAAGATGCACCGCCAGATTTGCGGATGAGAAAGGGCGACAGGAAACGTGAAAGCGTAGAGATGCAAATGGTTCCTTCTGCAGTGAGGCTAACTGAAAGGCTTCAATGCGGGGAAACGGCGCAACCAACCTTGAACCCGTGTTTGTTTTGCACGATGCCGACGCTGGAGGGGGCCAAGCGTGGATGGGAGGGTAGGGAGGGATGTGGTTGTATGCATGCCTGCCTGTACTGTAGGGAGAAATCTCCGAGTGTAAGGGCGTGTAACATCGCTGCGACCAAACTAAAAATCCGACCATTTGCTCGGGTCATGCTAATGCAAAGGGTGTAACACTGTGGTGAGGAATGCGAGATTTTCCCGCCAAATGAACATGATAACGACCGAGCTGCCGAATGCCCAAACCAAGTGACCGTACGTGATGGTCACACAAAGATAAAAAATTGGGGTAACATCCACATATTAGGATTACGTGGTAGTCACACTGACTACAGAAAACATCGGGTGTTAATTTTCATTTGATTTTGTAGATATGGACTTTCGCGACCTGCACTCAGGAGTGATATTCCCGAATTTCTGTCGCGAAGGCCTATGAGATCGCTAAACACAACCTTTTTCCGTCCCCGTATTTTCACACCCCGTCGAGTGCTGAATTGAGATTAGACCTTTAAATTTCAATTACGAGGGCATTTAAGAGAGGATGCCCCTAAATTGACAGATGACGCCCAAGGTGTTTGTTACCACTTCCCTCACATATCGGCCAACACGACCAAATGGTCGGATTTTGGGTTTGATCGCAGCGTTGTACACGCCCTAATGGATGTACCGCTTCTGATATAAACAGGTTTGTGCCGCTTTTGAGGGTTGTTTGGTACGGTCTCAAGGGCGCATTCTTGGCTCGTGTCTGACATGAGGTCACACGAAGTGAGGTTCAGGAAGACCCGAAGTAACCTGGAACTCTGGCAAATCAATGTTCGGAAGACCCGAAGTGGGCCACTTCGGGTCTTCCGAACCTCCATCCAAACCTCCACTTCGTGTCTGACACGAGCTAGAAATTTACCCTAAGTTCGGAATGTCTTTTGTTGTTTTTTTTTTTTTTGGCAATGCAAGATACAGGCATTAAGAGTCGCAACTGAGTTCGGAATGTCAAATAATGCGTCTTTTCTCCGTCGCCTCCTTCTGACCTTCCATTTTCCACCAGGTGTCCTAAATAAGTGATACTTAGAGGACTTGAGACTCCTCCCTCACCTTGATTGCAAGGAAGTTTTCAAGTAACTTTTCCGAGATTGCACATGGACTTGACTACCCCACCGCGGAACATGGTGGCGCTTGGTGAGGTGCTGTGACTCGTAAGAAGCTTGAACAATCAGATACTGTAGTGGTGAACAAAAAACCGTGGATCTTTTTCTGCAGGGTTAGTTCGGATTTCTTTGGATGCAATGCACCACCCGCAGTGCCCACAATGTTACAAAACAGCCGCAAAATCTGCGGCGTGAGAATAGCCACAAAACGACCTGGACGCCCATCCTGTCTTGTCTGTTTGAGCAGCTCCTGCGCTGCGAGATTGTTCCTGGAACAGAATGCACTTGCGCGCACCGAACAAGCCAACACCACATTGTGTGTCGGATGTTTAGAATGTCGAGAATTGTCAACTCTCGGATCTTCATATCCAACGGTTGATGTTTCTCGACATCCTTTGCCGTTGCCCGAGCAGGGTCCATATCCGCTTGAGACCAGGGTTCTGTAAGTCAGGAGGTTTTACCCCGATTATGTTGTTATTCTGAGCGATGTTTTTAATCACCCTGCTGAAACTGACTTTAGCGAGCGCACCACCACCTGCTTGACATGTGCTTTTCCGATCCTGCAAGAGCAGATATGAGCAAATGTGAACCCCACCTTGCAAAGCTCATCTAGTAGCAATCCTGCTGGCGAAACAACAAATGTAGTAGTGGAGGAAAGGTTGAATGGGCTCTCTCGTGCGTGTCTGGATGGATGTTAATGCGATCAATATCGCAGAAGTCAATCGAAGCACTTAATTTTGGCTGAGTTTTGGGAACTCTTGTTGCCCGAGTTATGCGACTGAATCGCTAAGAGACACTCTAGCCCCGTCATGATCACAATGTGAACCGCAACCGCTCCTAAACGCCTTCTCCACTCCCATTGCGTGACACGAAAACCAAAAGCCAAATCATATCGTTCGCTACAATGTCCGCAAAATAAATGCCCTCTATTTCTTCAGTGTACGAATCACAAGTCATCCTGTCGTGCCGTGCAGAAATGCACAGCAGTTGCGCTTGCAATAGGAGAGTTGCCATTTTCCGGGCAGCGAAGGATGAGGTGGTGGTTGTATACGACCCGCGGGGAGTGACAAAGGGGCGGAAACATTTGGCATATGTCACCTTAGAATGATCTTTACGGTCAAAATTCGTATGGCAATTGGCTGCGCTAACAGCTGAACCGCAAGAAATGTGTGGTTTCCATTAATGCAATCTGCAAACCTGCTGCAGCAAATCCCGAAGAGTGGTGGGAACAAATTCATAGCCAAAGGTGTCACGTGGAAGTGACAGTGGCCAACCAATGCTCAAAATGCAGCGGTGCGGAACAAATAGAATCTGGCGATGACGTGGCGTGATGCATCGCCATTGTACTTTCTGCTTCCAACAAAACATGCCAGCAGGTGAATGAATCATTAACAGCAACAACTGATGGAAGATGTCAGCGTTGGCGAGCCCTTGGCAGCTGGCAAAAGCAGTTTTTCTACAAGAGTACACCCTAGTTCTCGATAATTTCACACCCCTTAATCCAAACCCTGGGGTACACACCCTAGGATAAACGTTTTCGTAGGGTAGTGACCGACGTTTGGGAAATTCCCGGAGGGACCGACGTACTTGACAGGGTGCACCATTTCGCGAATTGATCGAGTGCTCCAAGAATATAAAAGGCAACCCAAACCTAATTAAAGCCTCCACTCCGAACACAAAGTGCGAACTGTCTACCTATCGGTTGTCTATCAATGGTCTAGTAATCTCGAGATGTCCGTCGTATCAATCCAAAAACCGTAAAGGGTACCTACAAAAAAAAGGCAAGGGGGGCGTGCAATTATCGAAAACTATGTGTACCCCAATGTATTCACAATGTTGCATTACCCATGCCCATGCAACTGGAATTAGTGAATGAATCTCACAAAAATGCCTAGTCGACAGTTCCTAGAATAAAACCAGCACTGGAAACCTTTCAGCGGCATTTCCTCGCTAAACGGAAAACCTAACACCCCACATCACCAACCCTACAAAAATCTGTATTTCAAATGCCACTTTGATGTATGCCCTCGAGAAAAAGGTGCATCCGAAGAAACAAATATCTACAAACGACAGAATACGAATGAAAATGTGTAAAATACGCGTTTCTCAATAGAAAAACGCCAAGTTTCTGACAGGATTATTATATTAATGGTCACTCTACAAGGCGTGCTATCACAAATGGTCACGTGGTTATCACAAGCGGTCATTAAAAAGGGCAAATCTATCACGGATGGTCACTGACTACCACGGATGGTCACTCGTCGCCCCACAATGTCTATCACGAATCGTCACTGAAAGAAACGTCTGCCTGAAAGTTGAAAATTTCTCCCCGACAACGTCACACTGTTGCGATTTAGGAAACATTATCGCGTTTTTTTCTTGTCTTTTTTCAGCGTAACATCCTAGGCGAAGCCTTATCAATCCTAACCGAGTAATATTTTTTGTTACAAGTAGTTCAAATAACTACAATAATATGAAACATCATGAGAAATGTTTACCATCAATTAATAAATACGAGAGTTGTCATTATTATTACGGTTGATTTGATTGCCATAATTTACTTCGTTCTTCTTTTTGCCATCGTATTTCATTTTTTTCCACCATATCATCATCTACATTTTCAATTGCCTATGCATAAAAAAAAGGAGTATTGCTGGGATAATGTATTATTATATGCATAAGTATGAATTACATTTCTTCACGTGGAGTGCTACTAAATTTGTAAACCAAATATTATATATGTAACAAGTCATGTTAGTCAGATATGATTGACAATGTTTTGTGTAAGAAGGTATGCAAAAACAAAGAAAATAAACTAACATAGTTAGCTCGCTAATCGTCCCTAAATTGCAGAAGTCTCTAACCATTCATGATAGATTTGCCCTTTTTATACCCGTTCGTAATAACCGCGTGACCATTTGTGATAGCGCGTCCGGTAGAATGACCATTCGTATAATAATCATTTTTTATGTGCTAAATCGAACTACATCTGGTCCGCCTTATTGAATGTCTTTACACGACGCATGCTTGGGTTGTACAAGAAATCGAAAATGCTAGATTTAGAGAACATTAACAGAACAAAAATGATGAATATAATAATTTCACAATGAGGCTACTACGAGTTGTTCCCTATTAGTTTTACACATACTGGACCACAAAGAAAGTTGGCATGAACTGCTTGCTATTGAGGACAAGCACATTGCGTAAAGGCGGCGTAAGGTTTCCCAAAACGTTTCGCTGAGGTAAAACATGGCCATTCTCGTTCTATGCCTTCGACGTTTTTCACTTCCTATAGGACGTGGTACATTTCTCACCAAACCAAACTGGTAAGAAGCTGGAGTTTGGGTGGGCAGCACCATGGGTGGACA